GAGAACGAAGTGTGGAACAGGCATTGTGGCCGTCCACCACAGCGCTTTAAACGGGGGCGCGATTGCGGTTCTCGAGAGGATGAAACGCTGGACATCCAATTATAGGAACGTAAAGAAGGTTTATGTGCGGGGAGTGCAACAATGGTGAGTGTCGAATACTTACGCATAAAGCGGACTTACTAAAGCAAATTAAGTAGTTAGTTATGCATAGTTAAGTACGGCAGTACTTAAAAGAGGACATGACCACTATGAATTTGCGAAATTAAAGAATTTAAACAACCTGCTACACTCCTCCCTTCCCGGTTCTTTTGTTCACTTTCCAGTTCCCGAACCGCCCACCAATGTTACAGTGAAGTTAGAGTATCCAACACAAGTGAGAGTCCAGTGGAATCCGCCGAACGTTACGAACGGTGAAGTCGCTAACTACACTGCCCTCGTCTTCCGACCCTATTTCTTCAAGTGCGCAGTTCGTGGAAATGTCAATACCTCCTGCATACTCCGCGACCTCTTTGAGGGCACCACCTATTCCGTTGACGTATATGCCTGTAATGACCCCAATGAGCATGGCGTGGGAGGAGGTTGCAGTCGACTCTCGAAAGCTGTATCCTTCACCACATGGACAGGCTGTGAGTTATTATCTTACATGTAAATAAACGGTATATAAATAAACGGTCTATTGAAATCAAGAAAGTAGTATGTTTTTAGTCATATTCACAATCTGTAAGATGAGGGTTTGAAAGTTTCCGCTGACCTTTAGCAGATGGCTGTCCAGGCGTCTCCTGGACACACTCTCGATGGAGGATTCAAATACAGTTTGAAAAAGAGTTCCAGTGTTCAATATTTCAGTGAGGGAGGAATTAAAAACGACGATTTGGACTGCACAGTTCCTTCTCCAGCTGAAAATCATGTCCTTTGAGGTTCCTTCTTGGTGTAATTTGAATATGAGCCTGCCTCTTGGCATCCAGATCAGTTCCCCTCAGAAACTGAAACGTTGCTATACGGTCACCTCTATCTTGCCTGTAGTGGAGGGGATAGGTATTCAGGACAGTCAGGCACGGCTCCTATGTCAAATATATATACGTACAGGGATGATCCTCGAGTGTGGGGGGCGCCGACTGAGGGTCTGAAGGTCAGGCTACAGCGGCTCCTTCATAACTTGACTCCTCTGAGCTGCGAGCCTCGCTTTGCGCAAAGTCCTGGCGTTTCTGCTTGGATGCCAGGTCGTGTATGCAGTACGCGTAGATGAGATTGAAATGGAGCCCAGCATCTGCGCCCACTCTTCGCATCAGTCTACTGACAGACGCAGACGTCAACATGAATAGTGGATAGAGAGTGAGATCAATAACTCAACACATTTCCCTCACTGTTAACAATATCACGCGCTTGGCGCTATAGCAGGCAGAGCTTTAATAGATTTATCATATTTCGCTTGGAAAGTCAGGCTTTTGCAATCATGTCTGACAAAGTTGCGAGGATACGTCCAGTTGGAGGGAGGGGGCGTGATAACAAATGTATTTAGTCTTTCGAAGGTTTGGCAGACTTGCTTAATTTTAAGTTGATCCAATTGTGAAAAGAACGCTTGGCATTCGGCGGGATTTGAACCCGCATAGTAGAGAAGGCCTTTACGCGAAGCCAATGCTCTCCCAGTTGAGCTCCAAATGTCCCGCTTCATACAGTAAGTTTAATCACAATTGAATCGATTTCACCCGCCCAACTTTACCGCTCGTATGGAATCCACCATTATGGAATAGCAAGCCGACTGCCCAAGCAGGATTTCCTAAACCATAATCTAGAATCCACCTGAATGATTACTAGGTTGATTTATTATTTAGGAGGTTTGGGAGATTTACTTACTTTTAAGTTGACCCAATTGGGTTTAAATCTCGCCGACTGCCGCGAGTCTTTTCACATTTGGGTCAACTCAAATTAGACAAATCTGCCAAACCTCCTAAATAATAAGTCAGCCTGGTTTCATTCTGGTGGATTCTAGATGATTGCTTAGGAAATCCTGCTTGGGAAGTCAGCTTGCTATTCCATTATGGTGGATTCCATACGAGCGGTAAAGTTGGGCAGGTAAAATCTATCCAAGTGTGATTAAACTCACGGTGTGGAGAGTGGCATTTTTAGCTCAATTTGGAAGGCATTAGCTTCGCATAAGGGCCTTCTCTACTATGCGGGCTCAAATCCCGCCGAATGCCGCAAGTTATTTTCACAATTGGGTCAACTTAAAAATAAAAACGTGTTCAGGATTGCCCTATCAGGTATATTCTTTCCAGAACCTTGATTTCACTCTCACACTAAACTTTTATTTCCTCTTCACACTGAAACCCTCATCATTAAAATTCGTAAACGGCTATATTATATCTGCCAGTTATGTTCATATCACATTCCTCAAACCGTAGGCTGCCGATTTATGCATGCCTCCATTCTCCCCCTCATTCACTACTGCTCTCTGGTAACTCTTCCAGCCTTGCTTAAAAAGACTTTTAGGTTTTTAAACGCATCCTCCGAATACTCTCCTTAGCTGCCGATATACCTTGAGCCTTCTTGCGACACTTTAAAATGGTTAAGCAATTTGCTGATCGCATTCGTAACGAGGTTACTCATCCACTTTACCCTGAACTAATGGCTGTGAAGTCTTCTCGTGCTGTATTTCGATGTTTCCGACATAGGTCCTGCCGCACACCGGCATATCAGCAGTCTCTACTTCCATTCCTGGCCCACTATCGCATGTGTATAGATAAGGAAATCCAGAATATGAGATTAGATCTGTCTCCATAATAGATGTGGATTTCATGTAAAAACCTCTTGATTTTGAGTATTTTATAAAGTTGTCTCTTAGTTTTAGTGAATGGAGCCATTTTGCTGGATATTTAGTAGGTTGGCCTCCAAAATAAAGCGTATTTCTTTCTGTTTCTCTCTCTTAATTTATCTCTTATCAACGCTCCTATGTCGTGTATATCTTCCTGCCATGAGCGACAATTTGTTTCCCCAGAAATACGCCAAATTGCATTGACAACCTTCATAGTTTCCAAAATCTGCGCAAGGAGATTTTTTCACTGGCTGCCCTCTTTTGGATTCTGTCCACCTAATGCCTTGTGGCATTTGGCATCGCCAACGAGTCACGATACTATACTTATACAATTATAATACTCTTGAGGAGTAAGTAGCCGTGTATGTTTATTAGTTTCCACTAAGTGAAGGCTGCGCAATTTTTTCCTGCAACGACCACCGTTTGAATATTTGTACGGTACCGGTGCATTTTTTCAGTCAATGTGTCACCAATAGGGAGGGGTCATAGGCGTTTGCCTATCTTTCTTTCAATAAAACTAAACTGAACTCGCTCTCTCTGACTACATTTTGCCTTCATTTTAGCCCTGGACTGCCCAACTATGGCACAGTTGATTCCGCAGCTCGGCATACTGCCGGAGCTTTGGGAAACAACACAAGCCATGATCACTTTGCCACTTTCTATCCTCCGGTTGAACGTCTCGGGGCCGCTTCTCAAAGCCACCCTTGTGGTGCATTCTGGCTACAGGTCTGTTA